TAATCAAGTTTTCTCTGAGTCAGATCTTTCTAACTCCTTCCTTCAACGAGTCGCAATCATGAGACTGGCACTTGGCTTCATTCACTCTGGCCCTCGCTCCGATTCTGCTGCTGGTTCTGACTCTGGCTCTGGCTTGTGACTCCTTGGTACTTGGTTCTCGCGCGGTCTCTGTCTCCGTCGTCATCTCTCTTGGTCACCTCTCTTGGTCTCTCATTTCGCACTGCGTGGCTCACACGTAATTGTACTAACAGTTGTATTTGTGTGCAGAAAATTTGGCATTCAAGCTACCAAAGCAGGTAAGTTGAAATGTCCCTTGTATGCCACCGCGTTCACTGATTGGTATATCCTTTAGCCCATGATGCTTCTGGTAGCACGGTGAGGCTCATCTTATTTGGCATTTTCCTCTTCTAACAAGAACTCGTTTGGACAGGTCGTCTTCAATTTCGAAGGTGGGGAATACCAAACACTTATTCAACATTCATTCCGTGTGGTGTACAATTTCTGTAGTAAGGGTACCTGATCAATGAAAGTCTTGATATAATCTATGTATTCTGTCTGTCCGTAATTCGGAGGTGCAAGGAATGGTCGTGAGTGGTGGGAGCACCCAGTCAATCGCCTCCAGGAGCTCAGTCGAACCGTCTCAAAATCGTCTCAGGTTGTTGTCAGATTGATGGCAGGGCGTGATGCTGACTGGAGACCCACCCGATTGAAATGGCGTCCTGAGTGTTATCCTGACCTCGGGTTGATGTCAGCACGGTCTCAAAACGAATCAGTCCCGTTGACGCGCTGATGGGATCCACCTGACCTCAAAAAGCTCTCGGACTCCGAGCGCAGTGTACATATCCAGTCGCGATGGGGATCTGAAAAAGTGGAAGATCCCAATCGTGATCCATTAAGGTTTTGTCATTGACGTTTTGGGCATCGTGTCATATGGTCAAATCAAGGCACGATCCAAGGAGCTGGAATCCAACACAAGCGTTTGTATTCGGGGCCCGATGGGGTATATCAGGGTATATCAGGATTGTTTCTCAAGTTTCTTCAGGTTTTTGCCGATTCCCAGGAAGATCTGGTTTGGTGACCGACGAGTTTCCGTGGAATCTTTGTCTCTGAGCCTCTCGAGATAATAAAGGAATCTTGTCGCGTGCTCTAAAGTGCAGCAGTTTCGACAAACCTCTCGCATTTTGCTCAGCTTTCGTCCACTGCTCCGACGCGAATTGGGTCAGCGGACATATCGTGTTGCCGTGGGCACGAGTTAAGTGTCCATACATACCCGTCGCGTGGTAGCAAACCCTGAACAGGCCCCCATCAAGCCCTCCCCATTCCAACATGCCCGCCAGCGGTGGAGCCGACCACTACCTACCTCCTCGTCTTCCTACTCTCATGGTGAACGACACCCACCAGACGAGCGAGGAGCCCTCATCAATCCCCTCACCAGAATACGAGGGAAGCTCGTTCATGCGACACGACCAATGTGAGTAAATATCCCTGGTTGACTATAAAAGTATCTCATCTGCATCCGCGTCAATAAAGTCCGGTATCCAGATCAACATGACATCCGCATCCCAACTGGCGGGGACGTCCTCGTCACCGAATTTTCGGATTATTCCTCGAGTTTAATCTCGCCTGAAGAAGCCCCGTTAATTGATACGACCCTACAAGTACCGCGATCGAATGCTTTTCAACCTCATCAATACGCGCTTTTGCCCCGTAACCACCAAGACCAGTTACCTCCCGCTCAGCCCTCCCCGACTTCCCGAACTTCTCATGACCTAGGGGAAGACCTTTTCAACTACGGTCGCCAAGCGATACTACCGTTGCCTGGTGGACCAACGGAGTCTCAACCTCATGACCCGACTCATACCACCCGACTGAATGCTCCAACGATGGTTACCTCGATTCCTGTGGAAAACCCTCCCTCTGTCCCTTCTTCCGAACCTCTCATGGGGTCTTCTGCAATACAACCCAATCCAAGTCGTCGCGATCGCAAGGAAGTGTCTCCCGTTGTCATAGCCTGTCGTCAATGGTAGGTAGTACCTCTTCGTGATCAGGAATCGTAAAATCTGATGGACTTGACGGACAGTCGTGGCCGCAAAATCCGCTGCGACTCAACGCGACCTGTTTGCAACAACTGCGTGCGCCGATCTAATACGTGCGAGTATGACACCGTTCCCAAAAGGAGAGGTCCAGATAAGCGTCCTGGCACTCGTCAAAGATCATGTAAAAAGAGGCCGACCGGGGATTCAGCGAACCTGGCTCCTAACGAGCCACCAGCAAAACGCAGAAAGACTGATCATACTCCTGGTTCTACTCAAGTACCACCCACCTCCAAGGAAAACATGGCAGCACATGGGTTAGTCAAACGTCGCTCACAGGAAGGAGTCCAAACGACAGAACTTCGCATCGACACTGAACAGCTTCCGTTGAAGGTAAGTTCCTTGAAATCACTCGACCTACATTCCCAGCTCATACCCAGATCAGCAGGAGGCTCAGTCACCAATTACACATCGATACATCCCTTATGGAAATGGTGGATCGTTGTCGAAGTCGGCTTTCCCTCGCCCAATTGACACCAATGTCGCGCACGTTTCTTCCCAAAGGTCACACTCGAAATACACTATCCTCAACTCGCCGGTGACCGAATCCTTACACAAGGATTGGTGGAATGAGTTCCTGGTCACTTCCGGATATTCGTGAGTAGTCCACATACGTCTACATGAAAGTACTCTGACCCTCGCCTCAGTCTGAACGACCTCGAGGTTCACACTCGCTACCTCTTCTCCGATACCTTACACAGCCTCGAGTTCCTCAACGTGGAATACTTCGTTCAAACCCTTCACAACCCGGACCGCAGACACACCATACAACCATCTCTTATTCTTGCTGTACTCGCGTTGTCGACGCTGATGAAAAGCAGCAGTATCGAAGACGGGGACACAGGCCGAAAGCGAGCACTCTATTTTCGTGATGCCGCACACCAGGCAGTCCACACTGCGATAGCTTCTGACTGGGTCGACGCTGCAGTCGCTGGGGCCTCCCTTGTAAGTCACACCTATCCTTGAATTTAGTCGCACCACTGATCAGCGAGTAGGTTCTGTGCCTCTTTGAATCCTCTGCTCATCCTCTATACGATCCCGCCCGTCATATGGGAGCCCTTGATCTTCTGTCTGGCCTCATTCGAAGCCTCACCCTCACCACCATCGATAGTAACGACCCTGATGTCTGCCGCTTTGCGCAGAATGCCGTTCCATGTGTGCAACTCCTACCGAGTCAGGCACTCTCTCAACGTTGCATCTGTATACCGAGTGATGCACAACAGCCCCCAGACAGCTACTCTACTTGGTCTTATCCACTACCCTGGGATCCTTCGTGGTCAGATATCCAGATCAAGGACGAAGAGTGCCGAAGGTTGGTCTGGTGTGCCCTCGGAATGGCCGCCCAGCATACGGTTCAATCGGCCGCGCTGCACGATCAAAACAACATGGAAGGTAGTGAAGAGGGCGAGGAGCTCTGGATCTGTAATCCTTCGAATGTGAGTCTCTCGCTTTATCGTCGAGACAAGCGTGGGTTCTGACTTGCGCCTCTCAAGTATGCCATACTCTTTCCGGCGGAAGTCATTGATCGTGCATCACCAGCATACCGAGGTGTCGACTCTCCCTCTCCAAAGGAGTCCGTTTATGCTCTGTATTGTCGAAGCATGCTCCTCTGGGTTTTCTGTCACTACCGCCTGAGGACCTGCCCAAGCGAAGAGCTGAAAGCCGAGTACGCGCAAGAAGCTATGGGCGAGTCGCAATTCATTCAGGAGTCTCTGGATTTCCACACCTGTAACTTGGACACGGGATTGATCTATCTGACGAGGGAGTACATCTCTAAGTGAGTTGCTTTCCCAAAATTTAGGGAATGTGTTTCTGACGTCGAATCTGGTTCAGTACCCGAGTCATCATTGGAAGATGTTTGCGCAGGTCTGTAAAAGCCACTGCTACCCGCCTACATACGCAGACTGACGAGTTATCTTTCGACCAGTTTCCATGGTTTATTCGGACCATCGAACCGGCTCGTCTCCAAACGACAGGCCCAAGACTGGGGTATGTTTTTCCGCTCTTATTGATTCTATTTACTTACCTAGCTCCCGAAGTGAACTCCCAAGAGCAGGTTATCAAGCGCGTAATGCTATCCATCCAGCGTACAACGGATCCACACGGCCATCAGCTCACACGTCGACCCCACCAAGTTCCTTGGTACTCGAACCAATTGGCAACGTCAGTTGTTTGCCGTTCCATTCTCCATCCCGTTGCTTAGTAGTTTCACAGATGTATGATGCTATGGACAAATGATGGCTCTCATATTTCAGCCCTTCAGCTCGCTAAATCGATCATAATCATCGTGGATATCCTCAACTATTTGTGGCCATGCTCGTGTACGTGTTACTATCACCCTGTATCCGGAGCTCTTACCAATGCGTATTTTCTAGATCAACACAACGTCTGCGAAGAACTTCGGGGCAAGCTCATCAAAGCGTGTCGGGTTGTGGGTCTAGATACACCGCTCCCGTCTGAGTACTCGGTCCCCGCCATCTTCAGGGCTAGTACGTGACAACGTTCATGGAAGGTTCCATGCCCCAACCACTCCCACGTAAACCTGGCCTCGGGTGCCCCTCGGGTTGCTCTCGGGCACGCCGGAGAGTCCATCCTGTCATCATTCTCTTCTTTCCAGATGGTCGTACTTGGACCATGGCGGCCGTACTCCAGCGTTCAATGCCAAGGTCGCTTTCTGTCTGTTACCCTCATGTTTCCTCTATCTCCGTTTGTCTCTAACCATTCGATATGTACCAGTCTACCAGATCTATCTTATTCTTCACTGTACTCATTTGTGTTGTATTTGACACTTTTCGTGATCTCTATCCGTACTTTTATCCTAAGGAGTATGTAGTCTAAGGGTTTTACATGTACTGAATACAAATCGTCTTTCGCTATAAACATTCTTCCGAGGCATAATCTATCAAGTCCGATGTGGTGTAGTGGCTAACATTGCTGTCTTTCATATCAGGAGGGCACAGCAGCCCGGGGTTCGATTCCCCGCATCGGAAATCTTTTTTCATTTTACGTCCGCCCTGGGCCAAAGCCGACCATGACGCAGCTGGCGCTGCGTAAACTCGAACCCCAGGGTTTGCTGCATAGATCGCTTTGACGTGGGAAATGGTTTGGAATTGGAATTGGAATTGGAGACTCCGAGGAGTGGCAAAGTCTCTGGAGAGCATTGCTCTGAACACGTCGTGTCTCAAATCCTTCGAAGGTAGGCAACTCGACGGGTGTTACTAATAATACATGCGTCAGCTTTGACCCGATAGCTGGACCATCTGCTCCAGCTTTAGATCTCACTAATTATAGATAGCTGAATGGCTTCCGTTCCCGACGGTTATCACAGGCCATCACCTCCTAGCACATTCACAAGCAATCAATGATCGACGGTTGTGCAACTTCAAGTTTTGGGCATTAAAGGGCGTAGAAAGTGACCGGGGCCGCTGGTCAAGAAAACCGTACACTGCACAAGTCATCAACATTGTCAAGGCTCAAGCACTCGCGCGCACGCCCCAGCTCTCCATACATGGAAGACTCCTATGACTCCATATATCGATCTGGGAGTTTCCCATACGAGACTTAACGTTGGTCTTCCCTCATGCTGGCAGCTCACTTCCATAGCACATGTCTTCGCATCACGAGCAACGTCGCCGCCACATGGTTTTTGGTGTCAGAACCGTTCTCGAGAGATTGACTTTCCCTTACAAGTATAGGTTTCGTTGGCTACCTCGATCATCGTGCGGTTTTCTTGACACTCCGCACGTTGCTTTCGTCACGTTCGCTCGGTGCGCAATTACTATATAACGGTGAAATGGCCAAATCTTCACTCGAGGTGCGATACATCGTGCGCGGTCATCATGGTAAGACTCCCTTCATTCGCGTTCTCCCGTCATGAAATGCTCATATCGTCTCGTAGTTCAAGCTCGGCGTTTTCGTTTCCCTCGCCTTGTCGATCATCTCTAAGGCAGCACCGGCTCCCGAGAACGTAGCATTGGCCAGGAAATACGCCCCACAGTTCAAGTTCCATAAGGACGAGATATATTTCCCTTCGACCATCGCATACTTTCTATCGAACACTGACGTTGGTTGCTGCACCTTCCTCTCAAGTGATTTTCTGATTTGAAATTGGTTGTTTTGATCTAGCTGGTCGACGGGAATGGTGCTCTCGTCAACGACAATCCCACGGTCCAGAACGTTGACGACGCCGCCAATCAAGGCTCAGGTCTCTTCCTTTCAACCCCCATCTCCTCAAACAAGAATGGCTGGCTAAGAGGACAGAACCCGATCACGACAGCTTCAGAAACGCACACGTTTGTGGCACCCAAAGCGAATGGAGTTGTAGATATCTACTACTGGCTATTCACGCCCTTCAACGAAGGCAAGAACGTTCCTGTTGTCGGACAAGTCGGCGATCGTGAGTTTCAGTACTTCCTTTGAAATTTGCAACCGTTCTAAATTTCACTACTTTTGTCCAGATGTCGGGGACTGGGAACGGCTCGCCGTTCGCACCGTCAATGGTGTGGCTACTCAGGTCGACTACCATGCGCATGGGGGCACGGGGGACGCGGGGTCAACCGTTCCCTTTGATCAAGCTCTCAAATTCGACAACGGTCAACGTCCAGCAGCTTATGTTGCCAAAGGATCGCATGGAATATGGCAGACTGTCGGTACCCATACCTACGTTGATGTAGTAATCTTCCAGCTGCAGGACATCACCGGTGATGGTGGTCTACAGTGGTAAGTCACCTCTCTTCACTTGGCCGGCGGCTACATGTTGCTAACTCATTCTTGAAGGGACACGCGAGATAGCCTGGTCGTATACAACTATCCCGATACCTTTAGTGGTGATCAGGATTGGCTGAACTACAAAGGAGTCTGGGGGAACAAAGGCTCCACGAGTTGCTGGTGGTACTCCATCTACAACGAGGTACGTGCTGGATACTCGCTCCTTTTCTTCCTCTGTTGACCTTCAAAATCAACAACGAAGTGCGAGGTTATAACAGGACCTTCCGGGCCGTACCGCTCAGACGTACTTGGTGCTTCTTTTGCAGCTTCTGCTGGAGATGACCGTAGTGTTACCTCCCACGATCCTGCGAAATGGGATATGAGTGGTCCGTTCTCTGTGAGTTTCCCTCGGTTTCTACGGTTGCAGTCGCTGACACGATAAATTTAGGAAATTTTGGGTGCTCCATCAGGCACCCCAGAGAAATCGACCTTCACATTCTACCTGTCTTCGGACATGATCTCTGCTTCAGACGCCACGATTGTCGCTGTCAAGCAAAACTGTCAAGGTGGCGATTCCGGTGAGACTGCAAGTACTTTCGCTTCAGTTCCCTTCGACAAGAGGAGTAGCAAGTTTACGGTAAGCCGTGGTTTCATTTCACAAGCTCTCAATGCAACCGATCCGATGATGTCGTCCTGGAACAGGTCTCTCCGGCTGCTTGCGCCTCCGGCTCAAGCGCGGCTTCGTATTCAGTTGCATTGTGCTCCTCGGAGACAGAAGACAGCTGTTCGTTTACCAATCAGAGGAAGCTTCGAGCCTTCGGACCCGAAGGCCCTGTGGACGCAGCGGCAATTGATGTGGAAGACTTGGATGTATGGAACTGAGCTAGGACTACTTTCGTAGGGACATTTGACTTTTCTTTGCTCAAGGGCAAGAGGTATGTATGATGTATGTATAAATAATATTATGTCCTTGCCTTGTTACTATGCGGGGCCTGGGTCGGTATTGAATCTCGTATGTCCTCTTATCTATAACATCCGGCAAGCTCCGTACCAAGGTGACATACTAACCTACATCGGTTGGTACTGCCGTAGCGCCAGTCTGTTTCCAGGCGATACGGGAGTGGAATCGTCAACTCCCAGTGGCTTGAACCTTGGCAGCCAACGGCTGGTCAAATCAATGGGATTGAAGTATCGTTGATCTTCTGCCAGGCTGGGCCGCTGTGGAGTGATATCGTCCCCCCGTGGTTTATCCGGCGAGAATCGAGGACGCTCGGGAGATTGTCGTTCTGTGGAGACGGAATAACCTCGTTCATTTCACCTGCTTACTTGCCCTTTCCCTAACACTGCCATTCGAAGCTAGATCACGTATTTTGGTAGAAGTACAAGAATAAAGCCTACGTTACGAAGCACCTCACTATGACTTCAACGAGCTATATTTCTCCGACAACTAAACGGCCCTCAACGCCTAACTCGAAGTCGCAATCAGCGAGCGATAATGCCAAGCAGGGCACGACTAACCTATTATGGGATTGTGCCTTCACTACAATTCATGAATACATAACGATCGTTTATTGTGCATCAAATACTCATCCTTTAACCCACAACTCGCCTAGGTCGAGAAGCTGTCCTTCGCTGTTCAATGTTCCTTGGATGAGCGCTACGTCGAACAAGGCATTCGTCGGATTTCCAACCAGCCCGTCTTCCATTTGCCCGTTAAACGTAACATCGAAGAATGATCGGAACTCTTCGACGACCCCGGACGACTTGAATTCATACGTATCCTCCGTTTCCTTGTATTCCTGCGGGGCAGACGACGCAAGGGAGTTAACGGTGACCCTCCAGCCTCCGCCCTCTTCGACTTTCCGTCGTGCAATCCCGATGAACCCAGTTGATCCCATGATCACGGTCTCATCGGAATTGGGGTGCGAGCGGGTAGGCCAGGCCCAGGTAAAGTCGAGGGTGCCGTTATAAGAGTCTATAGAGAAAGGTTAAAATAAGCGTGGTTGACCTCGGTGCGCGGAGTTTAGTATCACTTTTCACGATAGCGTGGATAGTATCCTTGGGGGCGAGGTATTCTTTGTTGAGCGAGGCAAAGGAGATGATCTGGCTCGAGGTAAAGTTCGGAAGCATGGTTCGTAGGGCGGCAGACGTGTGCTGGAGAAGCAAATTGAGTAAGAAGCCAAGCGAGGAGAGAGAAGAAAAACGTACCACACCGCCGTCAAGCTGGAGACAGATCGCAGAGACAAGTTAGTCGGAACTGTGATAGCTAGGACGTTATCAAACCATACCAAAAATCCGCCTTGATACTGTTGACGAGTTAGTGCAGCCAAAGGTAAACATAGTGCAACGTACTTCAGGTTTGGTTCTCCAAGGTGTGTTATACCATTCGCTGGTTTGATCAAGGTATACCTTGACGCTAGCTTTGAAAGACCGCACCTCTCCGATCTTCTTCTCTGCAATCAACTCCCTGACTTTCACATAGACAGGCTCGACCTCGAAGTTCTCAGCCACTCTCCATACCAGGCCTTTCGCAACGAAGGGTGCAGCTTCCTTGATGAGTTCTAATCCAGTCTTGACATTTGCTGCTACTGGCTTCTCGCTGAGAACATGTTTTCCGGCCTTCAGCGCTCGTAGAATGATAGCGGGTTGAACAGTGATGGGTAGAGCTATAATGACGGCTGCAATATCCGTTCGAGTCAGGAGCGCGTCTAAATCCCGTTCAGCGCTCTCAGGCTGATCGAAATAAATGTCGGCGGTGACCCCAAGTGACCTGGATGCCACACCCGCTAGTTCTTTGGCGCTTTTTTCCGATCTCGAGTATATTGCCTTGAGAGGTGGAATCGCACCAAAGCTGCTCAGAGTTACCAGGGCCGGCAAGTACGCTAGAGAAAACATATGGCCTAGTCAGCTCTCGTCCAAGATCCGGAGTAAATTAAAATACCAAGAGTAAGAAAAAAAAGGCTTTGAAGAGCACGTACCCATGCCAGGGAACAATCCAGCTCCCAAAATTGCAATACCCGTGCTTCCAGACATTCTTGTTGAATAGGAAATGGGAAATAGGTATCAGTGATGGGAGATACTGCGACAGCGAAGCGAAGAGCCGTGAGAACCAACGTAACATCGCTTTCTCCAAAGTTTTAACTCCGAGATCGGAACGGAAATGGCCGAATTTTCCTTCACGTGAGTTGTACCGATAATTTACCGTTCGCTTGTCCTTTTTCGTCAAACTCCCACCGACCAAGCTGCCTAAAGTTGTTGCTCCGAGTGTCGCAAACTACGTTTTGCGCTCAGAACAGTGGTCTTGAGTTCTTTCCACCCCATGTGTCCCGCTGATTTATTTTCCAGGCCTTTTTCCAAGGAGAGACAGGTACTTCTGAGAATCCACGAGGTACAACCCTGTTGATACCAGCGCAATGCGGACAATCCTCGGTAAATGACGGAATATTCAAGCATCCAGGGCATGCTTTGATATCGAGGATGTTGTGGTATTTAAGGCTAGAGTTCTAGTGGCGATCTGTTCCTGCTTCAACACGAAAACCAATGGCCGCGTCAGAGGTGAAAAAGCTCCCAAAAGGGTTCCTCTGGGGATTCGCAACTGGTGAGCAGACCCTCCGGGCAAGCCCAGTCATTCCGCTATGATACTGATCTCTGTTCATCGACAGCTTCGTTCCAAATCGAGGGCTCAACAGACGTTGACGGCCGAGGACCTTCAATCTGGGATGAGTTCTCTAGAACGCCTGGCAAGGTTCTGGACGGCAGGAACGGCGACGTTGCTACCGACTCCTACGTGCGGTGGAAGGAAGACTTGGACCTCCTGAAACAATACGGAGTCAAGTCGTACCGTTTCTCATTATCGTGGTCGCGTATCATTCCTCTCGGTGGAAGGAATGATCCTGTCAACCCAAAAGGTATCGAATGGTACTCAAACCTCATCGACGGTCTTCTAGAGAGGGGAATAACACCCTTCGTGGTAAGTATTCTCCGATGTATTCCCCGTGCATCAGCTCACGTTTCCCCATAGACTTTGTATCACTGGGACCTCCCTCAAGGTCTGCACGACCGATACGGAGGGTGGCTGAACAAGGACGAAATCGCGCAAGACTTTGCCCGTTATGCTAGGGTGCGTTGTAATTCAGAACTTCGCTCGCTCTCCCATCTCCCATCTCCCGCTTCCTGGTCCCGGACGCCTTGCTCTTGTCTAATTCATCCCTTTATTGACCTTGAATAAATGGTTTCTTCACAGGTTTGCTTCGAAGCCTTCGGCAATCGCGTCAAACACTGGTACGCGTTTCAGCTCTTATCCACTTGTTTTTGGAATCCCTCTATTTTCGTTTTTCATTCGGCTCCTTCCGTGCGTTTCATCATCTGCCTGCGTCTCCAGCTTGTTATAGCTATATTTTCCTCGGCTGCTTGGCAACGTGCGGCTATTTCCAGCATGCATATCTGTTTCAACCAACTTCAGCCATGGAAGTTGAGCGGAGAACGTGGTCGGCTATACGTCTCTTGTCTCTCACCCTCCCTTCTTCCTTCTCTCGGACTTTATCTCTTGTCTGTGGAGGCGAACTTATTACTCATATTGATTCTCCCTTCCCAGGTTGACTATGAATGAGCCATGGTGCATCTCTATTCTTGGGTACGGGCGTGGTGTCTTCGCACCGGGAAGGTCCAGTGACCGTGAAAGATCTCCCGAAGGTAATTCCGCTACCGAACCGTGGATGTACGTCGTCTGGCTTCTCCTTTGAACTCTAATACTTAAACTTCCTACCACTTCAGTGTAGGCCACAGTGTCATCCTCTCGCACGCCCATGCTGTCAAGGTATACCGCGAGGAGTTCAAGGCGAAGCAAGGAGGAGAGATAGGTATCACTCTCAACGGCGACTGGCAGATGCCTTGGGATGACTCCCCTGAGAGTATGTTCACCTTTCTCTCGACTTTTTCTCTTTGTCCTCAGTCACTGACTAATTTTACAGACGTCGCCGCGGCTCAGCACGCCCTCGATTTTGCAATAGGGTGGTTCGCAGACCCTGTTCACCTTGGTCATTACCCTCCCTACATGCGTGAAGTGCTTGGTGACCGTATGCCCGACTTCACGGAGGAGGAATGGAAGGTCGTCAAAGGAAGCAGTGACTTCTACGGCATGAACACCTACACCACCAACCTCGCCCGTGAGTCCTCTAACCCTGTGCTCGCTATTCGCGTCCATTGATTCATACTCTTACCACAGGTGCTGGAGGCGATGACGAGTTCCAGGGACTCGTAGACTATACCTTCACTCGACCAGACGGAACCCAACTGGGAACCCAGGCGCACTCGGCCTGGTTACAAGACTATCCGGAGGGCTTCCGGTCGCTGCTCAACTACTTGTGGAAGGTACGATTGCTCTCTCTATTTCTCCAGCTCAAGTTTACTTAGATAAACTGTTCATCAGCGCTACCACCTTCCGATATACGTCACCGAGAACGGGTTCTCAGTGAAGGACGAGAACACCAAAACTCTCGAGGAGGCCTTGAAGGACACCGACCGCTTGAACTACTTCAAGGGAACCACAGACAGCCTGATCAAGGCTATCACGGAGGACGGTGTCGACGTGAGGGCGTACTTCCCATGGAGTGAGTGTCTCTACTTCGTTTCTTTCCCTTCTCCATTGCTCTTTCATCCAAGTTACGATGGCTTTGGGAGCTTTGTTGCATTCACTCTTGGGTCGCCGCAACGTCGGATAAACCTCGAGTAATGTGCCTTCCAATGCCGTTCATGATAGAAATCTTCCGCGTTATTTCGCCGATGTCCGTCGCTTACATTGGCAGCGGGAACGAGGCTGGGGCACGATGTGCCAGCTAGCGTTAGGACCAGGAACGACGTTACTCTTTCTACCTATGCCAGAATGGGACGGTCGTCAGCTGGTACTCTGCTTTCCGCTCTTTTGACTAATTGATCCTCCATCGATGCGATACGATGAGCCTGTTTTATATATTGATACTTACCTCTCCTCATCTAGGTCTCCTTGATAACTTCGAGTGGGCGGACGGGTACCAGACTCGCTTCGGTTTGACCTATGTGGACTACGAGACCCAAAAGAGGTACCCCAAGGACAGTGCCAAATGGGTTGTGCAGGTATGAGTAAAATCCTTCCCATCTCGACAAAAGCTTATCTTGTATTCTTTCCCATAGTGGTTCAAGGAGCACGCGCAAGAAGATGGCCAGTCTGCATTGACAGCACCTCCTCTCGTTCATCAACAGACGACAGCATCCACGGTGTCCACGAGCCCTACACCTACGGTGAAGGTAGACACTCCTCCTGGTTCCGACGTGAAGGTACCGACTGCCAGGAAAGAGAAGGTCGGTTTCGCGGGAAAGATCAAGGCCTACGTTGCGAAGGTTATAAAAGCCTGAAGCGTCTTCAGCTTGTGATGCTTCTCATGTTCTGATAGGGCTGAGTCAAGGTTTCAACGCTTGCGGACACTATAAACTTAACCTGTGCATCATTGTTTCAATCTTTACTTAGGCATACGACGCATTATACTTCATTCATAGTTCTACCCTATATAACGACCACCATTACGACTTCTCTGTACAAAAAAGCTCTATTTATCTCGTCTAGTTTCTCTCACACTCTGTACCTCTTATAGTTGGGTTATACAAGAAGGTTCTTCGAACCCATGTCTCATCCACCGTCTCGCTGAGTTTTTGGTCTTGTGAAATAACACTACCTAGATCGGCTGTTGAGCTCCGGCTCTTTTGCGCACGCTACCAGAATATCAAAAGAAAAAATGGGGGTACCGCGGATCGAACGCGGGACCTTCAGAATGTCGTAGTGACTTCAGTCTGCTGCTCTCCCAGCTGAGCTATACCCCCGCATATCTAACACCCTTAACTTGTGGTTATATACCTTGAACAGCGCACGTCAAAACGGTCAGGCCTTCAGGTTTCACCATAGCCCAGCCCATTTTCCGGAAGCCGTGAAGCATACTGTATCTGAAGCAATATGCTAGTGATCCTGTCGCTTGGGGCTATGTATGCTGCGAGTCATTTGCGGGGATGAGAAGTCGAACCGGCCAAGCCTGCCCTAAAGAGCGCAGGGGACCAAATGTCCAGATCAGCCGACGTGACGCTCTTACTTTTCTCCTGCTCCTATGATCCCGTGCACAGTGATTTGGTCCATCGTCCCAATTCTTCTGCTGCAGCTCAGATCTTTCCTGGATTCACCATCCCACCCCACAAACGGCTCAACGGTCCGTTTACTCCGATCCTCAATTCCTGCGAATAGGCTGGGTATGTCACCGGGTCTGGGAATACAGTAACAATATTCGAGGCTATATTTCTTCTGGCAATGAGCGCCAGTGAAGACCTCCACCCAAGACCCACTGGAAAAAGGAAGCATGGGAACTACAGATCCCCGATCGCTATCTAGGACCCACAACAATCCACATCCATCCCAGAGGCGCGACCGCTGTAACCGCCGGCGCTTGTAACCGTCGACATGTCGGACTTTAATTCAGCCAATGCCGATCATTCAAATTGCAAATACATATTTGTCCACGGGACTTTCTCGGGGCCCTTCATAAAGGCGATATAAACGTCACTCTACAGGGCTTACCCTCAAACTATGGCCGTTACCTCCCACAACAGTCTCTTCGACGCATTCAGCGCTAAGAAACCCGTATTCGGGACCTTTCTCTCCCATGGATCCTTCTATCACGCTCGAATAGTCACTCAAGCGTCTCCGCATATGTCTTTCGTTGTCATCGATTGCGAGCATGGATTGACGCCGCTAAACCCAGGAGTTGCGGAGCAAGTAGCAGCAATCCAAGCAGAAGGGGTGCCGGCGTTGGTGAGAGTACCAGCGACCGGGGAGAGCACGGGAACAGGTTGGCAGATCAAGTATTGTTTGGACGCAGGAGCGAAAGGTACGTCCTATTCAGCATCACGTCTCGATGATACCTGACCTCAATGTCTCCTCAGGAGTTATTGTGCCTATGGTATCGACTGCCCAGAAGGCAGCGGAGATAGCAGCAGACTGTCGATTCCCTCCTGTCGGTCGGCGAGGTTTTGGCTCGGCGTATGGACACACGAACTGGAAAACATCGGTCCCAGAATATCTGGCCGAGGCGAACAAAAACATTCTCTGTATAGTTCAGATTGAGACAAAGGAAGGGCTGGAGAACGTGGAAGAAATCGCGAAGGTTGATGGTGTCGGTGAGAGGCTTCCTTCATCTGGACCTCGGGGGTTGATCATGAGATTGAACTGCTTGTACTCTAGACGTGCTCTTGCTCGGACCTGCAGACATCTCTCTGGCGCACGGATATCCCGTCCCCAATCCTGATGCACATCCAGAGGTCGACAAGATGCTTCAGCGCGTTAAGGAAGCTGCCCACGCTGCTGGGAAGAAATGGTTCGTTGGCCGTCTGTTCTTTTGAGACAATTTCGGCTGACCTTGTGATTGCTTTACCAGCGCTATGTACGTCCCTACAGGTGAAGCAGCGGCACAGAGGGCGAGGGAAGGATTTGACATGGTACGCTTCTCTCAACTCTTCTGAGATCTTTCTTTTTATCTGTTTTCCGTGAATTCTATGCATTCATTCCTGACTTTCCGACCTGCAGATAAGCATCACGAACGACGTCGGCCTGATACAGCTAGGAATCCAGGCTCATTTTGATCAGGCAGTGAAGCTCGCGTCGTAACTATCGACCGGCGTCGGTGAATGGATTCGGTAACTCAGTTAGGCTTTGTGGAAGGAATATTCAGTTCAGTCAACGGTACAGGAGGTCATCATATAGGCGCGACGACCCTACGTCTGAATGTAAATCGTTATGTAAATGAACACCAGCTGAGGCTCATATATTCATCAGGATATATTCCGCGTTTCGAAGCGACTTCAAACTCAGCCAGGTTGACCCTTGTCCTTCACCAGTAAAATTTTCACCTCTCGCATCTCTATAATATGTCGTCTGGATACAGAGTTCTTCCGCCGCCCGATTACGACTACAGCCCAGAGATTGTCTCGGACATGGAATGTGCTGGACGTAAAAAACCTCCATATCCTTTCAACGGTCCGGGTGAGCCCCCGAGGCTCCCTGAACAGCCAGTGTTCAAGAACGACACGAGGCGTAGTCGCAACGTTTCTATTGATAGCCATCTCGAAGAAGTACGCCAATATGGGATTGCGTTACAGACATGGAAGGATCAACTTGAGGAATATAGCGAAGAGAGAAGGAAATTCCTCCACTGGCATAAGAGATACCTTCAGTGGAAACGTGCGGTAGAATCAGAGGGTGACGATGAGTCGGAAGAAGAAGATGACCAGGAGATGCCTGTGAAATCAAAGAAGGGACTCACGGGACGTAAGGTCAGCTCGAAACATAAGTCCGAAAGTGCGTCGTTTTTACTTCTACTCGAAACCGCCTGATGGTCTTACAAGATTTGGGGTTCAGTCGATACCGACGTCGAATTCAACGCTATTCAAACCTCTAGTCGGCTGAGGACCACGACAAAAGAAAGCATAAGTGAAAAGATCCCGAGACGGGCGTCTCTCGGATCCTCTGGGAGCAAAATGACACGTACCGCAAAAGAATATGTCAGGGGGGAGCCACGCGAAGGTCAGGAACACGGATGAAGATTGCTATGCCTGTCGATCTGAATTATTTCTCTCAAGTTGGTTGTCGTCGCTGCGTGGATAAAGGGCTTGCATGCTCAGAGACACTCAGGCGAGTATCTGTCAAGAGCCCATACGCAGGAAAAAGTTGTTGGGAATGCAACATTCATCATGTCAGCTGCATTCCATCTGGAAAGGGATCGAATGAGCGGAGAACGGTGAGGTCTGCGCGTTTGCAGGCTAATGGAAAAGAAAAAGATACGAATGGCAAAAAGAGAGGTGCATCGCGTGGCCTTCTTGGACTGAAGAAGACTATAGACGAGTTGCAGGCGAGATTAGATGAGATGTCGGAGGTACCTGGCAGCAGTTTCTGACAGATACATGCGATTAGCGACGGTATAGTATACGAGCCAACTCCCTTCACCCACCAAAGCTTGACCAAATCACCATCGTGAGAACATCCAAATGAACGTCGGAAACCTTTCGATAATCAAAGTTCAAACTCAGCCAGATCGACACTCGTCCTTCGCTTCTCACTACCCTTCACAAGTATGTCTGATTACGCCGTCCTTCCGCCGTCCGATTACAATTATAATCCAAAAACTCTCTCGTACATGGAGGATGCTGGACGCCAAAAGCCGCCCTACCCCCTTGATGGTGCGGGGGACCCTCCGAAACTCCCTGAACAGCCGCTTTTCAACGAGAATACGAGCCGTAGCCGTAGTGCTTCTATCGACAGTCATCTTGAGGAACTTCACCGATATGAAGGCACATTGCGGAAATGGAAAGATCGGTGCGATGTTTACGATGAAGAGAGGAGGAGGTTCCTCCATTGGCACAAAATATATGTCCAATGCGAACATGCGATAGAATCCCAAGATAGTAACGAAGACTCGGAAGAGGATGACGGGGAGATGCCCGTGAAGTCGACGAAGGAAGTAAGACACGCATCGGGCTCGAAACGCAGCAGGGCTGACTCAGGTGCATGGATATTTTCAAGTTTCACAGCAACGGGGATCTAACAAACCGTCCTTCAACCTCGCAGATGAGTCTGGTGTCGAGGCGGTTAAGATTCAGCGGATCTCTGAGCGGCTCAAAACGAGGACAGTTAGACCAGCGACAAAGGCTATACAACCTCCCACTCCCTCAGGACGTGTCAATACGTGGAGTACAGAGGGATACATGGAGGGAGATGAAAACAAAGGCAAGATCCGGTATACGCTATCCTATGATATTGTGGCTGAACGGAGCTTTGTAGAGAGTTGCGGTCGCTGCTTGGTCAAGGGGATCAAATGCTCCAAAACGCTTTCCCGATCACCCTCGAAAGAATACAAAGGGAAGAGATGCTGGAGGTGTAACACCGGCCACTATATCTGTAACTTCGGGGAAGTATCGAAGGCTAGGGAACCTCGTACGATGAAGTCTGGATCTCGACATGCGAAGGTCGACGTGAATTCGGATACGAGACAAGACGTATCGCGGGTACTCCGTGGACTGAAGAAAACCATCAACGACTTGCAGATGAAGGTAGACGTGATGTAAATGATCGCCAATGAGTTCCTTTGTAAGGGTCTTTCTTGGAGCGCGTGTAGGAGTAATTTCGTAATCACGGGGATTTTAGTAGGTGTTTGTAGGTCCTGTAGCCTGAGCTTGTAAAAAGCGGACTTTCCGAGCAGCGATAGTGAGACGCGTCTCCCTGGATCGAGGAACGAGAGCACAAATATTCAGTCGGCAGGTACACCCTCCTGCCGAGCGCTGGTGTAGGGACCAAGCGAGAACGGATGTTTTCCGGTTCGGAACGTCTAGGCCAAGAGAGTTTTAGCCCTTTACAGCTATTTGCAAGATCGTAGCACATTTTGGGCGCGAGCTTCAGATTACTAAGCGCTCCAAGCTATACAAAACAGAGGGCCACCTAGACCTATCGGGAGTTCCTGTATGACGAGCAAGTTGAGATACGTAGGCCCACCCCACAAATTGTATTGCAGAACGTGCAGATTATATAGCTGAGTCATCGAGAGCTCGCCGCGCAGGATGTGCTACGAACATGCAAATAGCTGTAAGTGACTGTAACCGCCAGTAGTTTGAGGACTTACAATCGTACATATTAGTCAACCCTCAGCCACCTCGGAAGCTAACCGCTTCAGTCTCGGTTTGGTCATATCACGGCGAGTCCCGACTCCTATAAAAAGAGGCGTGTCACCTCATGACCGCTCAAAATATGTCTTCCCCCACGATCCTCTTGACGGGCGGCACAGGCCAAA